ATCATCAACTGCTGTGCGATCAACTGCTGCCAACAGAGAATCGTCTCTTTCAAAGAAAGTGGCATTCATCATTCTTACAGACTTTCTTTGCTGGATGCCTGTCATCATCATCAGCTTCCTCTCCATTACTGGATTCAACGTCGACCGGTCAAAACAAATTTACGTATGGATTGCAGTGTTTGTCCTGCCAATAAATTCTTCGATCAACCCATTCCTCTATACATTCACAACTATCCACAGCAGGCGTAAAAGTCAAGATCTAGGTAAMATTTCTGTATGTATATATTCAGTTTGTCGGCGAAGAGAAAGGCGGTTCGTTGCAATAATGGRAAGAATGTTGTTTGAATTCAAATACGACTGTTCTATTTATAATGTASAATATAAAGGAGGCCTTTTGAAGAATACTTCTCCAAGAAAAACAAAGACTTCTACTGAGAATACTGAGGACCTCAACAGTGCGGAARAGGYTAAGAAGTCATCGAAGGTTTGCTACAGAATACAGCTTCTAGAAAAAGTTGACATCCAAAGCAGCTGCAACGGAGTGGTTAGTAAACCCTTTTAGTGATCTCTTTTATTGACCTAAAAACCATGTAAAACATCATTTTATTCAGTAGCAGCGAGTGCAAATGCAAGGAATCTGTGATTATAGAAGAAAATGAAAATAATTTCAAATTTCACCGAGTTTTACGTGAATTTCTGCATGTTTAATTTACACGCAATTGAGGCTAACATAGTTTAAAAGACATGGCGGAACTCAGCTATTGGAGATAATAATGGACTTTGTGGTTATGATGTTCGTTCACAAGATTACTTCTCATCAATCAGCTTACGGGAGAATCGTTAAAACTAAAAAAATACTGTAAAAGGACGTTTTCGATCCTGAAACTGTCAAACAGTTGTGCCCATATTCTGTGAAAATGCAGGGAATTTTCCATTGAACAAAACTATAAGAGCCGCTTTGCGCAAAAAAACAAAAAAACAAACAAAATTGAAACTTTTTGGAAAGGCTAAAAAAAAATAAAAATCTACTCATTTTGTATTTCGATAAGGCATGATAAGGTAACAGTCCCTRTGTAATATTGATTTTTGAAGATATTTTATTTTTCGCAAGACAATCGATCGTTAATCAATGTACAATCATACTTGGCCTGATATGTCTGATTTTTGCGCGAAGTGGCTCGTAAACACTCAAATGCCTACCATCGATTTTATACAATTGACAATATTGTGGAAACATTCAGTGCTTTCATGTGAAGAACTATCAGAAATAAGTATTTGTGGAAAGTTTTGAATCTATGTACAAAATGCGGAGTTATGAAGAAATAAAAACAAGGGATCTGTATATAATTCGTTTTTGAGGCCTTGGTAACCTCGTTTTGATGCTTTTGTGCACACTTTCTAACTCTTATAACTTCAAGAGAACTTATTGCTTTTCTGTGTTATGAATTTGACGATAATATGCTAATCAGTGTCGGACATTATTCATTTCGTCAATAATGTAGTGCAAACTCCATCGGTTGTATTTTGAWTTTTTAGASCTTTTTCATGGGCAAGGTGAAGTCACGTGATCGCGAAGATCTCTCTCTTATCAAGTACTTCAATCAAAGCAGGGCGGATGCCTTTAAGAAAGAGCTCGATATCGTTTCTAAGATCAAAGACCACAAGCAYGAAAACATCATTGAATATCAATGGAGTTGTTTTGGTAAATATAC